ATGTTTTTTATTGAAGGTGTACATAGTTACAAGGGACATCTCTACTTTTTTGTTGGTTTTTTTTTGTCTCTCCTTCGATTGAAAATCCCAATTTTTCAAATACTGAGATTTGTGCTCTTTAAATTTAAATAAAGTCTTTGAGCATAAACTTCTGGAGGAAAAACAATCTCCTTACGTGACATTTAATACAGGGTGATCCAAAAGTCCCTTCCACCCCCTCTAACTTTTTACCTAATTGAGGTAAAGATTTGAAACTTGGGGGATATTCCTAGGTAAAAGGGAGCTACTTTTTGGCCCCCCTAAAATTTTCAGGGGGGCCCCCTTGGGGGGGCAACGGCCCCCAACTTTTAATTTTCAAATGGGAAGACCCCCTTTGTGATAGCTCGTTCAAAAGAGCATAAAAAAAGAAAACTTTTCGCGCAAACCCGAAGTCAATATCTCAAACAGTTTCAAAATGGCGGCCGGTTAAAGTTCAAAATGGCCGAAAATTCACACCGGTTATTTGTCGATGGATTTGCGCGAAAGTCGGTATGTAGGGGTATTTTGACACGAGAAAAACGAATTTGACGTTAGATTTTCAAAAAAACCGAAATTTCCAAAATGGCCGCCGGTTAAAGTTCAAAATGACCAAAAATTGATTTTTTTAGAAATCTAAGTTCAAATTTGTTTATCTTATGCCAAAATACTCTCAAATTCCAAGTTTTAGGCAAATCCATCGGCAAAAAACCGAGGTGACAATTTTTGGCCATTTTAAACTTTAACCGGCGACCATTTTGGAAATTCCGTTTTTTTTAAAAATCCAACTTCAAATTCGTTTTTCTCGTGTCAAAATACCCCTACAAACCGATTTTCGCGCAAATCCATCGACAAATAACCGGTGTGAATTTTCGGCCATTTTGAACTTTAACCGGCCGCCATTTTGAAACTGTTTGAGATATTGACTTCGGGTTTGCGCGAAAAGTTTTCTTTTTTTATGCTCTTTCGAACGAGCTATCACAAAGGGGGTCTTCCCATTTGAAAATTAAAAGTTGGGGGCCGTTGTCCCCCCAAGGGGGGCCCCCCTGAAAATTTTAGGGGGGCCAAAAAGTAGCTCCCTTTTACCTAGGAATATCCCCCAAGTTTCAAATCTTTACCTCAATTAGGTAAAAAGTTAGAGGGGGTGGAAGGGACTTTTGGATCACCCTGTATGTATTGAATTCATGTTTTTATTGCATGTGTATTATAATTACAAGGGACATCTCCACATTTTTGTTTGTGTTCTGTCTCTCCGGTCGAAAATCCTAAATTTGCAACCTGAAAATTGTGCTCTTTAAATTTAAAATACAATTTTTACGCACTTTAAAAGGCACCCAGCTTCTTCGGAGAACTGGAAAACGTGCCTACATAGAAATCAGCGGGCTGATTATTGCAATTGACGGACAAATCTATAGACAAAGAAACCAAAAGGGATATGGAAGGATCCTATTGGTGGAAGCTGGTGGTTGCAATGGACATATGAGGCATAGGTAATGGACTAACTAACGACAATCCCCGAGAGACGCGCACAGGCGCGGACTACAGAGTTAGTCCATCATTTAACCCCGTAGTGTAAGAACCACCCATTGCTACCAAAAGGATTGCTTTATGCTCCCCTATGTCCTCTTTCTCTATCGCTTTGTCTATCAATTTCAACAATCAACCTACAGCTGAGCACTTCTTTACCCTAAAAAAAAGAATCACAATCTCAACTATACTTCTGGCTGATTTTGGCACCAGTTACGACAGTACCAGATAGAGGTAAGGTTAATCCAACCACACTTTCGGGTGACTCAACCCCACCTCTGGCTGGTGCAACCATTCTAAAAACTATCGCCAAAATCAGACAGGAGCATAGGTAGAATTGTGATACTTTTTTCCCCCGTGTAATACAAACGTTTTAGAGCTTTCCCACTTATTTCCTATTCATAAGATTCCGCAATCAGGGCAAAATTCCACGCGCCGTCACGACTTCTCTTTTTGCGACCTGACTTGTACAACAATTTGCTTTTTGTCATGATGCATCTCAGGTCGGGAACCCAATTATGCTCCTGGGTTGCATGGGCGGAGCGGGAGCAGTGCGAGACAGTGGCGTGGCGTGCTTTGCGATCTATCGATTGATCTCCCTTTTAAACTTATGGGAAAGGATCGATAAACAGGGTGTTCGCAGCGAACACCTTAATAATCGATTCTTTACCATAGCTACAAATGAGGAAATATCGATAATCGATCATTCACGCCACGCCACTGGTGCGAGAGGACGACGTGTAACGGATCGCGGGGTTTGCTTACAGCGAGCCCGGCTCTCAAATTTCGATTAAAGCATGAAAATTGGTAGGATGGGTCTGACGGGAGGGCGGGCGGGTGAGGGGAGGGAGAGGGCACGAGGTTGATTTAAATCATTAATCGAGTTGTGCGAGGATGTCAAATTAATTCGCTCCAATTAATACTTTAATCGATTCAGGCGCCCTCATCACTCTTGGCCCATTCGAACAATCGACCCGCAGTTGCCGCCCGACGGAATGCTGTAGGCTTGTAAAAAGGTTGCGACCTCCGCGCGTCGCCAAGATTTGTTATCACACTATGTGACAATATGCCAGGAATTGATTGTTTTCAGGTCTAGAATACTGAAAAAACAGGTAAATGGTAGGGAAATAACTCCTCCCCCGTAAAAAAGTGGAATTTGCTCGATGTTAAGGTGGTAAAAGGGAAGCAGAGGAAGTATATGGTGTGCGCAAAAGAGACGATTAAACTTTGGAACTAAATAAATTAACAGGGAGCTTTCAATTGTGTGCGTGCAGAAAAATTGATTGATGTCACCGTAAAATTCAACAAACAGGCTCGGTTTTTCCTGTCCATGGGATGGGATGGTTAGGTGGCAGATCCGCTTCTTGCATGCGTATATTAAGTCAAGAAAAAACTTTAAAAGAATATCAATTTTAATTAAAAAAATAACAAATTTAAAAATAATAATATACCACACCCTGTACGTTCAGTATTATGCGAGTTTTATTGAAGGATTTGATTAAAGGCTCGTTAAAATAAGCAATAAATACGATTTTCCTGTAGTATGAAAAGTACAACATTCAATAGCTCAAAACTTTTTCGAAAGGCCAAAGCAGGAAAATCATCAAATATGAAAGGGGCCTTTTTGTTTAGCCCCCCCCCCCCCCCAAGCACCGAACAAAGTTTCCCATTTTACTCTTTGCCTCGGAGTAGTGGGGCATAAAAACGACACGGTTTATCGGAATCACGAATCGCTGCACCGCTCCCCGGGAACGGTCGCGCCAATATTTCCCGCCGCTCCCCACATTTTCCCAACTTTTTCGCGGAAAAAAGTATGATTTGTGCGACTACTTGAGAGTGTAATTACCGAGCGCGCCGTTATGCACGTCCCGAGCCAGGCTACACTACCGTGCCATGGAAAAACGCCGTATGAGCATTCGAATGTTGCCAAATTGCCCCCTAGAAAAGATTCATTTTTGAATAAAGTTATGAATTTTTTACCTTGAAATTTTCAGGCTATTTAGATCAAATTACGCACGATATTCCCTAAAAAATTTGAAGAAAAATACACATCGCAATTTTCGAGGAAATTCGTGATTTTTTGAAGAGAATTTGGCAGTGCCTGGTGGCTCATACGGCGTTCTCATTCCGCACGGCAGTATAGGCGACCACAAGCAGGTTGCGCGCCTCCACCGCACCGGTCCAGCGTTATGGCGCGATGAAAAATCGCTTTTCGAAGTCCGCCCCCTCCCACCGCACCCCGCCCTGCCGCCACCCCCATGCACGCATCCGCTCCCTCCCTGGACTTCGATTGACAACCTCGCCAAACGGCTCCGTTTCCGCAACGTATCAACGCCGCCCGGAAAATAAATCAGCTTTTTTTCCGTCCCTGTGCCCGGGAGCTCGTAAAATGTTACACGCTGCGAAAGTGCTGTCTCTCGCTCGGGATCCGTGGCAAGGCGCGAATGACCGATTATCGATATTTTTCCATTTGAAGCTGTGGTAAAGAATCGATTGTTATAGAAGACCCAGTTTATCGATCCTTTTCCATAGGTTTAAATGGCGGATCAGTCGATATATCGCAAAACACGCCACGCCACTGCTCGGGATCCGTGCTTCGGGTCCGGAAACGGGATGTTCGTCTTTTTTTTCGAGTTCGCTCGCGTCGGCGGGTATTTGGTGGGGGTTTTTGTAATTTATGAAATTAATAAATGAAACGTCCGTTTATGCTCGGACATCGGGCCGAGCGAGAGGGATAAAAACACAACATGAACAAATTGGGGTTTTTACTAACCAAGGAATTTCAGAAATGCCACAGGAAAGGTCCGTTATCAACGCGCTATCACCTAAAATGATGTGCGGTCGCTAACTCGAAACTGGAGGAACCTAGAATGTTTTCCCCCGGACTGAAGAGCCTTTGAATCAGCGATATTTTCAACTGAAGGGACCACTGGTACAGATAATGGCCAAACTCGAAATCATGGGATATGCTAAAAATTAGACGAACAGAACCAAACGCTACATGGAACCGGGAAGGGAAAGGACGCGCGTTGATGACGGCGCGGCGCAGAGATACAACTATTCGTGCTTGATGGATGTCCGTGTTGCAGCTGCAAAATTGAAGGCGCGATGGCGCGAAGCGTGAACTCCCAACGCTCCGCTGCATGCTACCAATGAGGTATCGCTCAGATTTGGGAAAATGTTAAGAAAGGAAGCCCGAGTAAGTCTCTTCTATCTCATTTCATCTCATTTGAAACCTCGGTAAAACAGGTCTCATTTTATTTAAAACCCCGTGTCGCCACCCTTTTGCTAGGTGTCCCCTTCGGCTCCTCCCAGGAGGGCCCAAATCAAGCATCTTCTTTCTTTCATTCCATTTTCACTACTACTACTACCTTCTTTCTTTCATATAATTACATGTGCCATGTAAGTATTGGCTGAAACAGCCCATAACTAATCCGTTCATGGTTATTTTTGCGCAGAAAAATCCGGGGACGATCCGAGTGGCAGAGATGAATCGCGGTCAAGCGAACCTGACGATGGACCTGCAGGTGGACGTGCCCCGCTCAGTCGTCATATCAAAACACGTAGTTCCTCTCTGCAACGAAGCTGCAGACTCCACCTACACTAGACTTCACGATATCAACACGTGGTCTTCATTACCAGGTAGGCAACAACCCCGTTTCATTTCACGTTGTCTCCGCCAAGTGGAACATAAGAAACCCTGTGAACAGCAGATCCTACCAGTTCTAACCGCTGAATTCTCGACAAATAGACGGAGTATGTTCCGCATGCTCGGGTAGTTTATTCAACCCTCGGAAAAGTTATCGAATCAGTTTGCGCAATAGTCAAACTAAGTCACGGTTGCCATATTTTTAAAAAATGTACACAAACGATTAACTCGGCAACGGAATTCACACGGTTCCGGGCTTTATTCGTCAACGCGCGATCCAATTTTCTGCCCGTAAACTCTCAACACGGCAAAACTAACACCATTGCCTCGGAGTCGTAAATATGACACTTGGTTCGTGACTCGAAAACTTTATCACCGAAGATGTCGCCCGCCGCGAGGCAAGTTTAAAGCCTTTAAGCAGCTCCGTTACGAGCCAGTATCTCGAGCGGTTCCTCCAGTATTTTTCTTGTAGAAGCGATGTGATAGTATAGTTGAAAAAAAAAAAAATTCAGGCTAACTCTTACCGTCGATTTCTAAAGCGGATATGTTATCCAAAGTACAGCAAAAATTTCCGTGCTTTAATTCGTTGTTTCCCCGACAAAGAAGTACATAGGTCCATTCCAAGGTTGCAGGGTTGTCTGAAACATTTCAGTTTTTTACAAGAGCATGGCTATACAATATGGACCACGTTAAGCAGAAAGGAACCAAGCCACATTAGCTATTACCACTTTTAACTGGGCAATTTAATTGTTTACAAAATAACGTTTCTGCGCATTTCTTTGAAAATTTTAAGGAGTTTCATTCGATCTATGTAGAAAATTTGCACAAAAATTCACAAAACCGTTATCATGTAAAAAATACAATTGCCCAATTAAATTTGACAACAGCTGATCTGGCTTGGTTCCTCTCTGCTTAACGCGGTCCACATAATGTCCAAAAGTACTTTGATTTTTTCGCGTAATCAAAAGAAAAATCAAAGGCCTTTTCACGTTCCTTTGTCGAAGGAACGACAATTTTTCCATCGTTTTTTACCGACCGCATTTGTTGACATGTTTCACTGAAGTTACAGAATTTGATTCTGTAACTCTCTAACTTGTTCTTTCTTTTTATCCTCGAGGCGAAAAATTCGCTTCATTGCGTATTTATTTATTCCGGGTGATGAATTAAATTTTGCAATGGTGCGGCGTATGGTTTACAGACACTTTCTTGGAGGTGCTGTTAGACATTATAAGATTTGCATCGCAGTTGCGCTGAAGCTTTCATCTTCTTTGAGAATTTCAAGTTTCTAAAATGAATAATTTTTCGCCCTAGCCATCGCAATCCCGCTCTCGCACTCAATTTCATCTTTGTTTGGAAACTTGATTACAGACATGAATACGTATTCGAATACGTATTTCCCCACTACACTGTGGAAAAAAATCCACAAATCCATCAGTTTCCATACGGTAGAATTTAACTGCAATTCAACGTTGTCAAATTTTCCTCCTCACTTTGTATTTTTTCGTGGTTACTGTTGAGCGTTTCTGACTGAAAAATGCACTTATATTTCATCTTATTACACGTTAAAATCAGCCGCATTTTAGACGGATATTGCACGGTCATCCTCTCGTGAAAAACTAAGTTGTTTGAGTCAATCGTTTAACCTTTAAATGTAGTTAAATTCCTTTGTTTAGAAAACGACGAATCTTTAGTCATCGCGGTCTCAATAATTTGAGATTGATTTGAGTTTGAGAGCTGATTTTGGACGGAATCATCGGTGTCAATGTTTCTCACAATTTTTCATACCTACCAGAAATGTTTAAATCGAAAATCCCAAGAATTGGAGGAACTACATTTTTCTAATTTAATTGCTACTGTTGCCCAAAGAATTACCAGTCCCAATGCTTTCCTTTGTATCTAACTCGCTATCGCTTCAAAAACCGACTCGGTTCGGGAAGTCCAATACATCCACTCCCGTCATCTAATCGCTGCGGAGATGTGCGAAGTCACCGTCAAAATCCAGACTCAAAATAAGACGTCTATCAAGTTCAGGAGCAAGATGTAATATTCCCGCGAGACCCGTCTTTTTACTGTCTTATCAACTGCCAACAAAAAATATTACCTCCCAAGTCTGACCCTTCATCCAACTTCATTCTCTTCGCCCCGGTTACAAATTGGTCGGCCGGTGTATTGCCAAAAGAGGATAGAAGAAGGGGCGAACAACCAGCTACGCCCGAAGGATTCTGAATAGGCAATTTATGTGCAAGGGGTGCGTTGTGGTTGGCCGAGGCAAGGGTAGATTGGCAAACGTTGCCGCTTTAGACTGAATGTAACGCACTTGTATCGATTCATCTGGCGTCTTTTTGTGAATATGATTTCCATTTCCCTTGAATAATGAAGGAAATAAATGAATGGAAGTTTGGTCTTTTAACAGTCGAGGGTTTCGCGCAGTAGTGTCATCATTTTTCAAAGTGCACACGAGGCGAGATTACACAGGAACTAGGAGCTGTGCACAGAAAATGAAATCAAGATTTTTGGCGCCAGGGCGTTCTAAAAAATGGACGGTTCAGCTAAGCTCCCACCTACAGGTTCCAGGCACGAATTCGTGACGGGGCAGCAGGATTATCTGATGGCCTTAGATTTTCGTCACATTTTCTCTCTATTTTGTCTTTTGCCCCCTTTTCCCACTCTATTTCTCCTTTCAACCTCTACTAGCCAATTCAAACTGGAACTTGCTTGTATTTGCATAGAACCAAAACCTTGATATTTTTGAATTTTAGAGAATTTTATCCAAAACCGTGCAAAATCGTGGATTGATGCAATAAGGCAGGAAAAGAGGTGACACGATTTGCTGGAGGAACTTCCGAATCAATGTGAGGCTTTCAAAATGACAATTTCACATTGATCGTTTTTCGTTTAAAAAATGTTTGATATTAAAATAATCGTTTTCAAGTGTTATTCAATATATTCCTAAATAAATTGTATCAATGATTCTACTTGACGAGAACCCTAACTCTATTAAGAAACTGGACGCAGAGTAAATTTGGCTCGCTGTAGCTTAGCCTTAACTTTATAGCGTTATTATTACTTATTGTTGCTTGTCTCCGACTCGTTTACAATTAATTCGTTGTTGCGAAAGTCCTTCTGGAGTGGAGCCAAAAATGATTAAAAATAAATGCCATCGAAAATGACGAAAGTGGAAAGGAATGAAGCGGGAGCATAAACACAATCCTAAGTGCTCGAATAAGAAGTTGCTAATATGTGGAGCTTGAAGTGACTTTGAAAGGGGGAGGGGGAAGGAAATGAAAAAGTCGCATTGAGGATAAGAACGCCGAAACTCATAACTGGAAGCACGGACTTTTCCGAAAGTGGAAAAAGGAAGCGGGTACGTTACCGGCACCCGCCTGTCCCCC